ATCGTCTTCTACAGTTGGGCTTTTATGTTTGTTTTCTATTTCTTTACTTATTCTGCTTATGTGATTTTAAAAGTTGACTTTTATGCTTCAACGAACAATGTTTCTCTTTTATTGAGAATGTTTTTGTTTTGTTTTTCACGCGGTTGTTAAATAAAAGGTCCTGGATTCAATTTATCGGCCGCGAATAAATGCAAAAAAACCGTCCCAATTAATTTGAGGCAAAGCGATAAAGAAAAAGGAGAATCTTCAGAAGTGGCCAGTTATCTTGGAAGGACGAAACCACCATCCCTCAACCCAGGCCAAATGGCTCCTCGCTTTTGTCTCAGATTTTCAAAAGGGCCACAGCCGCTGCCCTTTGTCAACCTTGTTAAACAGTCGAAAAGAAAGCTTGGTTTAACTCGCCTTTCCTTTTAACTCACTCTACGCTTTTCTTCGGCCAGGGGGTGAGATGAATTTATTCAATGAGAAAAGTTTGCCCTCGCCTTAAAACAGGTAGAGCCTGGATTTTGATTTAACGTCTAGATTCCTACGCAACTTGGACAGTTGTGTTTTCTTAGATACTTTTAAGCGAACTTTTTGTGAATATGAGCTGAAAAATTAAGAAACACACCTATTCGCAATTTAAAATTAATCATGTAAATGTTATTCAGGACGAAACAAAACCAAAGAAAAATATTGGGAATGAAGATAATGAGAGAATCAGAAAGAAAGAAAGCCAGGGAGAGAGAGAAAGAGAGACAGAGAGAGTGTAAGAGAGAAAGAGAGGGGAAAGGGAGAGAAAGACAGAAAGAAATGAAGAGATAGAAAGCAAGATGTATATGTATATATAATATATATGGAATAATACAGATATGTAGAAATAGAGACATCGATGGTCAGTAATGTCTCCTTGTGTGTGTGTGTGTATGTGTGTGTGTGTGTGTGTGTGTGTGAGAGAGAGAGAGAGAGAGAGAGAGAGAGAGAGAGAGAGAGAGAGAGAGAAATAGAAAGATAAATAGGGAGAGACTGGGAAAGAGAGGGATAGAGAGAGTTGTATGTGTGTGTGAGTGAGAAATGATGAAATGAGAAACACTTATGAATATAAATAAAATTTATGAATTTTCCGACTGTGAACAAATTAGTGAACAAACCATGTATTGAAAAATGGTAGATTGCACTTGAATCGTTAGTGTGAATGATGCATGTAATAGAGAGGTAAAGAATTTTATTATTTAAAACGATAGGAAGCAAACAGTCATATATATCCGTTAGTGTTCACTCGTACCTAGTAGGGTACATTATGGTTATTAATAAAATTAGTATATAAATATATAAAATAGATAAAATAGATAAAAATGTATAAACATATTTTTTCCGAGAGGATTTGGTTAATTTTAGTGGCATAATTTCTAATGAAATGGTTCAGATTTGTGTACAAGTTTAAATTGAAAGGAAACAAAATTGTACCAAACTTAAATTAATAAATTCCAAGAGGGTTGTCGTACCCAACATATTTTGTTTTTACTCTTCGGCGGACTATTATTTATAATAATTTTTGATATATCATATATATCCAAATTTTTATTTAAAAAAAAATATATAGATTTAAAACGGTTAAATCGGTTATGCAGAATCATGGAAGAAGCATTAAATTTCAAGGGCGGATTCGTCGGACAGCCTCCATAATCATGATTGACCCCTTCCAGGCCTCCTTTGAAAGCAGGTCCTTGAACCCGTCCTTTTTTTGGGCCTCCCGATTTTAACCTAGCACCTCCTCAGAATCTTTAATAAAGGCCCATTGATCCAGCAGAATGGCTAACTGTTATTGAAGGGAAAAAATGGAAAGCGGAAAATATGAAAAGAAAAAAATAACTCCCTGCTTCTGACTGTTTAACTAATTAAAAATTTGAACTTTGAAAAAAAATTGAATCAACTCTTTCAGTTTACCACGGAATTGTTCTATCGAACTGCCGACGAAATTAATCGACACAGGTCCGTCAGTTCTCGCTGTTGATGTATCGTTAGACGTTTAGGAGTGTCCGCCTTAGTAACCAAGATTGGGTGAATAATACGATTCGATAAATCCTACAAAGAGAAACCGCGCTGAAACTAATACAAACCCAAGTGTGCAAGCATGAAACAGCTCCGCTTGTCAATTTGGTGAAGGTGGAAGTATGACAAGCCATCTGTGAAGGCTGATGAAAAATTTCCGTCTTGAATAACACGACCATCACCACTGTATATTGTGCGACAATTACTTTACGAAAGATTTGCCCACCTTACAAAGATAACAATTAATGAAACTTTAAATATCCTCATAAATTACGTAGGTCAATTTGAATGATCGATATTAAACCAGTTTATTTTCACACACACACACACACACACTCTTTCTCCATCTCTCTCTCTCTCTCTCTCTCTCTCTCTCTCTCTCTCTCTCTTTCTCTCTTTCAACAATAACTCTAATATTTCATGTCGATACAAATTTGTTCGCATCCCCCTTTTTTTTCAACCTTCTTCTTCATTTCTACAGCCATACACAGCCACTTTCTTACTCTCTCTCTCTCTCTCTCTCTCTCTCTCTCTCTCTCTCTCTCTCTCTATCTCTCTCTCCCTCTCTCTCCCCTTCCCCCCCCCCTGTTTCCCTCTTTTTTATTCATATATTGTATACATGTTTTTTCTAGTACATATTATATTTNCTCTCTCTCTCTCTCTCTCTCTCTCTCTCTCTCTCTCTCTCTCTCTCTCTAAATATATATACTATATGTATTTTATATATACGCTCTCTGTTTGTCTTACTCTTATTTGGGTTCACCAAATGTGGCTCACTCAATCCTTTTCTCACTACCTCCGACTTTGGCTTATACTCACTCTCTCACTCCCTCTCTCTCTCTCTCACTCCCTCTCTCTCTCTCACTCTCTCACTCCCTCTCTCTCTCTCTCTCTATCTCACTCTCTCTCTCTCTCTCGTATAAATTTTGTAGAATGATTTGCTCATAATTTAAACTTATCACTCTTTCCTCCCAACAAATTACTATCGATCATTCTCACTCTTTATGACTTTATATCATTTGATTCGTTATATCGTAGAAACGTAGATAAGGCCTAAATTAACGCAGTTGAATAAATCATATCATGTATAAATCTATCTCCCTCTCTCACACATACACTCACTCTATCCCTCACTTTCCCATTCTCTGGATGGATCAATTGATAATGAGAAATAAAGATCGTTCCGGCTTTCTTTGGTAGTTCTTTTATCTCCAACTTTCGTATTCTTTGTTCTCATTCTCTCTTGATTGTTTAAATAAAACGGTAGTCATTCATCCTTTTTTTTTAACACCGAAAACATATATGTGATTAAAACTAACAGAACGTTTTTAAAAATAATTGGCTGGTCACGAATGTTTTAAAAACAAGAGGTGCAGACAGAAAAATGATCGATAATGTTGGAATAATTAGTCTTGCGAACTTTACCACTTTGACACAATTATTATTTTCAAATATAAATTATTGCAAAAACTTAAGTAATAAAAGTCAAAATTGTAAGCTGTATACACACATTAATCAAAATTAAGAAATCACACATAAAAATGAGTTTTCTTGGTGTTTTGTTGTTTATTGAAACGTTTATTAAGCTTGTACTATTTTGATGCAAGCATTGAGGGAGTAGTTCTTCAGATGAACTTCATAATTTATGGGGTTTCAATTCATATTGATGTTATGTTGTCTGCATGTGCATATTTCGATCGTCTTTATTGGTTTCCAGAAAGATGCAAGCATTGAGGGAGTAGTTTTTCAGATGAACTTCATAATTTATGGGGTTCCAATTCATATTGATGTTATGTTGTCTGCAAGTGCATATTTCGATCGTCTTTATTGGTTTCCAGAAAAGTTAAGAGTACAAAGTTAAATTACAGATTGTTTTTTCCAACACATTACACCTTGATACATAATTTTTAATTTTCTTACGATTATGAATTGGCCTCATTGGATGTGATGGATATTGCAATATTTCGCTGTACCCCCACATATCCAGTCCATAAGTCCATATCGGGAAGAAGTAAATTGGAAGTTTTTTTTACGGAGAGTTAGGAGGGAGGTCATGAGGGAGAATAGTCCACCAAGGCTGAACTATTCTCAGGTCTTACGGACTTTTACCTCGGATTACTGAATATTCCACAATCGACCTACACACAGTATTAATAATCGAATCTAAATTAGGGTAGAGGAGGTAGTTTTATTCCGCTATCGACCCTAAAAACACACTGGTAAAGGAGCGATGGGGCAACATATTTCACCATCACCCCTCACCACTTAGACTATTCAAACAGCAAATATGATACAACAGTTAGAATGATCTATAAACAATAAAAAAAAAACCTCCGCGTCTAAAACAAAAGGACAGGGGAACAGAAACCGACTGCTTTGCTCGAAAACGTAACTTAAATGCAGAGGCATGCATACACGATCCCTATGTGGACCATTGAATGACGCCTCTCTCATGTGCGACACTTCGAACAACTTTTTGAGAAAGCAGCCCAAGTGTCAACCTGTTAAAATAAAAAGTTTCCTCGTTCAACATCCCAAAGAAAAAGTAAAAACATTTTGTGATTTTATTTTAGTTAGTTCATAAACTAAAATGCTTCCACAAATGATAAACAAATGTATTAAATTATCTGTTTATGTAGAGTATAATATACGTAAATCATTCAACGACGATCACTCAAAACAAAAATATAAGAAAATATATCCTTTCTTTTGAATAAACGTCAGTAGAGGGTAAATCATGTCTTATTCTACACAAATATTGAATCATTTTTGTTAAGAAAAAAATAATCAATCATAAAGTTTTCCTCATTTGAATATGTACAAATGTTTCTTAATAAAAAAAGAACAAATTTACGATATTAAATTTTAGATATTTAAAAATGAAATTTGACTTGTGTCCTTCTACATAAAGTTTTATATACTTTGACACACAGGTGCTAAAAATAGTTGTTTACTGAAAGAAAACCAAATTACTTTGCAAAAATATATTTATAGAACACATTAATTTGCGCCCTTAAAGCGAAGTTAATTTTCTTAACTAACCTGTAACAAAGTAAAGGAAACAAAAAATAATTTTTAATAAGATAATTTTTAATAAGACACTAAATTATAAACACAAGAGTGTACAAATAAATTCACCATTTTTGTCCCACGGCCAGGTGATCTTCTCGGGCAAGGCAGGAAGGACCCCTGAAAGAAAATTATACTTAGCACCTTAAATAAAAGAATTTTGGTTTCTCTTTTACCTTATTAGCAGTGATCCTTCCATCAAACAGAGTAACACAGGGGGCAGTAAACGCCCCCCTGGTTATTCGAATTATTTGCTCTAACCTATTTAAATATCAAATTTGGTTATTTGGCGAAATGTGGGGAATGCACTCAAAACAAACATTCATAAAATTGAAAAAAATCTCACCTTTTTTGTCTCCACGCCCAGACGCTTTTCTTGGGCAAGGCTGGAAGGACCCCTGAAAAAAATTATACTTAACACCTGAAATAAAAGCATTTTGGTTTCTCTTTTACCTTATTAGCGGTGGTCCTTCCATCAAATTACACCATTGACGCCCGACCGATAGAAGAGTAACACAGGGGGCAGTAAACGCCCCCCTGGTTATTCGAATTATTTGCTCTAACCTATTTAAATACATAATTTTTTGTTTAGTTGGCGAAATGTGTGGAATGCGTGGATAACAATACACTTATAAAATTTTAAAAAAATCAAAAAGGGACTATAATTAAATATCTTAATGGTTGTCGTTCATACCTTAGGTCTCAATCTTCACAAAATCAATTTTCATTCTGTATAATAATGTTCACGTTGAGAGTCTTTGAACGTTATGCACATTTAAAACTTTTCTAGGCTTAATATCACTTTGGTTACCAGCATTTTGTTTCCTTTCTCATTTGTTTTCGTTCCTACTATGTTTTTAAAATGACTATCCACTGTTTCTACAAAAGTTACTTTACAAATAAATTGGTTATAACGACATGTTATAAAAAAATTCCATTTTGCTTTTGTGTATTCTTTTTTTTTACACTTGGACAATAATAATTTTTATACATTTTTTATTATAATGAACATATGACGTCAGATGTAGCACGACATAAGCATCAGCTGTTTTAAATTAATTTTAAAAATATATGTTTTTTTTTTTTATGGACCATTTAATTTGACATTTATATATCCTCTGATTATTTTTTTCCTTTATTAGAGATTTATATTCGAAATCGTTAAAATCGATTTATCCAATTTTATTTAGTTTACCAATTTGTATATTATATGTTCGATGTTGTGTATATCAGTAGTGTTGATAATTTGCAATTATACAAAGATAGATAGAAGAGAGTGAGAGAGAGAGTGCGAGTAAGAATCTCGTTCACAGAAATAATGAAAGAGAGCAAAAGAAAGGGAAAGGTCAAAAAATAAAATTGAGATAAAGGAAAATAAATTAAGAAAGATTGGGCACGAAAAAGTTAGCAAGCTGCTCTTAGTAATTTGTTTAACATCAAGAGGATTCCTTGCATTGTTTATACATTTGTGGTACCTAAGAAATATAAAATTATAGCATGTGATTAATTTATTTGAGATTGCAGACTAAAGCATTACCGTAAATGTGAGGATTATTTTCCCGCTTGAGGATTATCGTCATTAGTACATGGCTTCCCACGTATGATAACATTAATAAGTTGAGTTCAATGCTCTACAGGCTATCTGGAGAACTTTTTTGGTAAGAACTGTAGTTTTGATAACTTTCAGTTCTTTTCCTGTTTTTGATCTGATCTGATGACAGTGTAGTTTTACGGTTATTAATTGATCGGGCATAATTTTTTTAAAAAATTTTGATGTTGATTGGGATTCGGGTTGTGGTCTTCAAACATACAATGTTATTATATCAACGCCCAAGCTTTCGACAAGTTTTATTGTCTTCGTCAGGGGATCTACAGAGACATAGGGACATAATCATTTAGACAGTTATAAATTGTATAAATAGTTATAAAATATCAGTTTTTTGTTACTTACAGATACAAAGTCAAATCGTAAACACATTGCACATTCCACGATATGTATATAAACAAACTATATACATATATAATAAATAAATAAATAAACAAGATTTTAATTTCTAAAATTTAAGATCTTAATTTTTAAAAATTGTGGTAAATGATTGTTATCATTAGGTGATAGTGTGGGGAACCTCCCACCTGCTAACGTGATAAACACAATTTTCTAGTCAAACGCCTGTGATATTTATGTACAAAAAGAATATTATTTATTAAGTAATTGTTACTTTTTTTAAAAATGCCTATATATATGTAAGAGGTTGTTAAGAAGAGGTTTTTATTTATTTATTTATTTATTTATTATATATGTATATAGTTTGTTTATATACATATCGTGGAATGTGCAATGTGTTTACGATTTGACTTTGTATCTGTAAGTAACAAAAAACTGATATTTTATAACTATTTATACAATTTATAACTGTCTAAATGATTATGTCCCTTTGTCTCTGTAGATCCCCTGAAGAAGACAATAAAACTTGTCGAAAGCTTGGGCGTTGATATAATAACATTGTATGTTTGAAGACCACAACCCGAATCCCAATCAACATCGTATGAAAGCTGGTTGATCGCACAACAAACAATAATTTTGATGTTTTAACAGCTACTTAAAAAAATTGTTCTTGAATAGGATGGGAAGGTTTGTGACTTTCGGTCTCCTCTCAGTTTTTGGCGCTGGTAAGGAACGCTACTCTCCTCCAGCCCGGAAACGCAATTAGACCATCCCCGAGAGCCGGCCAAAACCAACCCCAACCCCCTCCTTACATTAGCCTTTATCGGACCAGCTTTTTTGCGTTCTTGCATTTTTAATTCACATTTCACTTTTTAAACATACGACATTATTTTTGTTAGAAATGTGTTAAGGAGATTGTAAAATTTTTCCAGTCCTTTTACCCGCACTGCCGGTTCTTTTTTATTATACATATTCATTGCTAGATAGCGGGCCAGAGGCGTCATATGCGTCACAGGCGGTTTACGTTTTCTTATTATTCCCGTTGAAGTCCGCTTTGATCTATTTTACTAACCCGTGTTATATTTAGACAATGTGTGGTGATTAGTGACCGTTACTTGATGATTATTCAGAAATCGTGAGATGCGGTCTGGTGTGATGTAGGTTTCAGAAAAATATTTTCTTTATCGTGCCAACGTTTCGATCTTTATTGAGATCATCTTCACGACCTGGGATTTCCAAACACTGTTTAAATTTAACAAATACATGTAGGATGTGGAGAAAAGTGAATTTATACAATGCAAAAAAATATATTATTTATATTCAATGAAAGTATTTTTACTCATTCAATGCGTTTGTTTTCTGCGTACGTGTGCCATTCTTGCATGTCGTGTTAAGAGTGCCAGTGAGATATTGCTGTTTTATGTTCATATATGTTGGATTTTGAAGGGGTGGAGAAGGAAGTCGGCATAGAAATTGAATATAAATAATATATTTTTATGCATTGTATAAATTCACTTTTTTTCCACATCCTCCATGTATTTGAAAAATTTAAACAGTGTTTGGAAATCCCAGGTCCTGAAGATGATCTCAATAATGATCGAAACGTTGGCACGNTCTCTCTCTCTCTCTCTCTCTCTCTCTCTCTCTCTCTCTCTCTCTCTCTCTCTCTCTCTCTCTCTCTCACTAATTAGTTGAATTATTTATTTTGGTTGCTTAGCAAATAATCTTCCATTATATATGTAGATATTTATTACTTTTTTATCGATTTCTCGTCTTTAGTTATCCGCAGTCGATCAGCGTTATCCACCCGTAATCTCAAATCTGGCTGATGAATTTTCGTTAATAAAATTTCCAAATTCAAAGTCGTTTTAAAATGCGGTAAAACTTAAATAAAGCTAATCCTAAACACTTTTTTATTGTTGGAAATAATTGTGTTGTTTTACGATGTCTGTTCCGACACACAATGTCAGCTCTAGGGCTATTTTTAAGTCGGAAAAGAGCCTAAGAGGGTGAATTCCGTTCCTATAAATAAATCCACATTTATCTTCGGCCAACTGTTCCGAAGTGGAGCCCTTGTGTCTATTTGTACACATCCCAGGTGTGCCTATCCCAATGTTTGCCCTACGGGGTCTTCTTACGATTCTGCGCGTAGCTTACATTAGAAAACAACAACATATATATATAAATTAGTTTCTGAAATCAAAATTCAGTACCTCTACTTTTACAATCTACTTACAATATATTTCTTTTACAATTTAAACTATCATATCAATCAAACAAACCAAATTTACTTGATTAATGATTAAATAGATAGTCGGCTCACACAAATTTTATGGTTCATTAATTCTTACACGCCGTCTCTATCCCCTTAGAATCGACAAACCGTGGGTTCACAGCCCATTGATCCATTCGACAAGTTGTCAACATCCATCCCACCATAATCCCCGTCGACCCTTCATGCCATACTTCATTAATCCGACCGGCCACTATCCAACCATTGACCCAAATAGGAAGGAAAATTCTATTTTCCATTCATTCAGAAGTTAACCTTGTCTTCAAGTCAAAGCGCTAATCTCTAAACTTATATCGAATTGTTATTCATTTTGAATATTTTTGTAGCGGTTTAGTAGAGGTTTTAACGATTTTCAAGCTTTAAAGAGGCTTCTGTAACGTCTATTCAAGTCTTATCGTTTAAGAGTTCCTCTGAGGGTTCCATGTAAGACTTTTATCTATATAGTGGAGTCCCAAGGAGGTTAAATAAGGGGAGAATGCTACGTCTCAAAGTGAACTATGTTTTTACTCTTGGTGGTATGGTTTTATCCAACACTTGACAAATTAAGGTTCAACTTTTTTTAATAATGGAATTTGTGGAGATGATGTATCTGGACGTTTTCCAAAGTCAGGAAGAGTTTTAAAACAATCTTTTTTTTTATTAGGTGGTGTATTTGGTCAAAAAATCAATAATTGCAGTGGGATTTGAGAAAGAAAGCAAAGTATGATGTAAAATTTGTAAAACTTAATTTTTTTAATTAAACAGAATTTTATTAATTTTTAAAGAAAGATTTTAGTTTAATTAATTATACTTTTTAACGAATCTATTTTCTACCTAAAGCTAGTGTCAAGCGAGATTCGAACCTACGACCTTCGGCTCAATACTGTTGCTCGAATCACTTGAGTATTGTGACCAACGCTTCAGTTTTCACCTTGCTCAAGGCTTAGAGATTTCCCTTAAATTAACTTTTGTATGTCTGCTACACAACTTAAAAGAAATTAAATTCTGAAGCAGAAGGATATAGTTTAAAATGGCAATTCTATTTAAATATGTGTTCTATTGAAAATAGTTTTGAATAAATATTCTATTGCATTCTAATTTATGAGATTAGAAACTGGCACCGGACAGCGTGCTAAAGTTGTAGTTTTAAAAATTAATGAAAAAGAAAACCTCATGTACTGGACAACACCACCCTTTTCACTTAACAGGCAAGATTTTAGGAAATTGAAGGTAGTTTAGTTTAGTAAGGTTAGATAGGTTAATTTTTAGTTGTCTAATAAATAGATAAATAGATATTGACAGATAAAGACCATTTAACCGAAAAAGTGAGAGAGAGAAAGGGACAGAGAGAGGGAGAGAGAGGGAGAGAGAGTGAGTGAGAGAGAGAGAGAGAGAGAGGAGAGTGGAAGTGGTAAATCTTGTGGTAAATAGAAAGATGGAGAAAATGATATATAGATAGCGAAAAAGATAGATAGCATGAAAGAGTAAATTGAGTGGTATGGGAATTAATTAATAAATGGATAAACAGTCAACAGGTAGTCACACATCATTCAACATATTGGCTCTGTGCAAATAGAACATTTATTAAACAGGAATAAGTTATTGCATATCATTGAATACGGAGTAGGGCCAATTATTTAAATGGAAACGTATTTTAAATTTTATTTAGTTTTTATATTCGGTTCTCGTTTGGCAAATAAACGGAGTGAAATTGGTTTGGATTTTTATTAAATTGAAAAATATTTTATTTGAAAATAATATTGTGGCACT